AAAAAAAAAAAAAAAAAGGAAAAAGAACAACAAAGTGATAAGAAGCTAAAATAAAAGCAACCAGAACCTGACATCTGAAAAATGAACAACAACAAAACTCCAGGATTGGGAAAATAAAGGAGACCTTATCATGGCTGGAGACAGTAAGGTTTGGTTAGACTTAGGTGTTTCTAGAGGTTGACTTCTTTTTGTGACAAGATTATGCTCTGTGGAAATGTTTAATATTTTAAAAAGTAACAAAAAATTAACTTTATGAACCCACATAAATGGAAGTCTTTCAGACTTTGGTTGAAAACCAGAGTATTCTGGCTCAGAACTGAAATACTGAAATCAAAGCCCAATATATTTTCTTCCACAGTGGTTTAAGGACTTTATAATTCAGAAACATTTTTCTTATATTATTCCATGAGGATTTGATTCTTTGGCAGAATCATATCTTGCATGATACTTAGAGAGGAAAAATTCTTTTGTCCTCCACACTTTACCCTACAGTGGCTTCTAAATTATTTTAATTTTTCATGTGAAAGAAAATTATCTTTGAGATGGGCTCTATATTTTTCCTTATGGTGAAGGACCTGGAGGAGAAAAGTGTATGATAATTTGTTATCTCTTTTCTCTTACCGATTCACGATTACCCTAACACAGATTGCGATTTGCAGCTAGTTTATATGACTTTATCTAAGAAGTTTCCACTTTGCCTTTTTACATTATTCATATTCTAAATAGAATTTAATATTGTTATCTTTAAATATAAACTCCAACAAAGATGTTTTTGTTGAGATCTGGATGGATTTCTCGCTTCTGTTTAACACATTGTTTTTGAGTAGATTCTGATTAAATAATGGCATTTATTAATTTCTCCCTGACTTTATACTTTTTTTTTTTATGTTAATTAAGGCTAGACCAGCAGTGCTTGTACTGTACTACTCGAGATAGCTGCAAGATCCAAGACCAGGGGACCATGTCTCAGCTTCAGAGCAGGTGTGACCCCTGTCCTACTGTGTTGGCTGCTCATCTTTGACACCTTGTATCTTAAAATAAAATGCAATAAACATCTATAGGAGTGTTTCAAGCACTCTTGGGGAAGAAAACCTCATTTAAAAGAAAAAAAACATAGGAAAAATCAATGGAGCCTTAATGGGAAAAAAATATGGCGCACTCACCACCACTGAGAACGGAGGAGGATTCTATAAGGCAAAGGCCTAAAAAACAGGATGAAAAGAACTCTGTTCATAAGCAAGAGGGATACAAGCGGCAAAGGAGCGAGTGAAGAAAGAATTCACGACAAATGTCTCAAAGCAGCTATGGAAAGAGCTCTTCAAAAATACAGAAAATATTTGGAAAAGCTGAAGGGAGAAGAAGGATGCCACCGAAGTTGCCTGGAAGTCACAAGCTGACAAGTTAAGGCAGGCTTTCAAAAACTGAAAAGTCAGGAAATGTCCTTCTTCATAAACCTCTACTGAGGCCCTGGGGCACAACAAAGGAAATCCACTACAGCTGCATGGCAATTGGTAAATTCTTGTTATCATGCTACGTGCCAAACTCCTTTCTCTTTACTTCTCTAATTCATCTGTCAGTGTGTGGGCATAATCCAGACACTGAAGGGACTTGTGTGCTAAAATGTCAATTGGGAGACAGCCCTCCGCCCTTGATGGGGAGATGAATTAATAAGAAAATCTCAAAATGCAGAGTAGAGGAGCAAGGAGCTTGGTTCTGGGAGAAAAAGGTGGCAGAGAGTGGGTGAAAATGAGGCCTGTTTTCCAAAACACGAGTTTAGTAATTAGCCCTAAAGCCATGGCTTTAAACCAGAGAGCAAAGATTAATATCATGCTAACTGAAATGAATTTAATCCTATCATTTTGAGTAAATAATGTTTCGAGTTTCTCCAAAACAGAGGCTCTATATGAAAACACTAGTGGCTCGAATTTTTGGAACATAAATGATGCAGTATGATGTGTGTTGAAGGAGGAGGATGAGTGCGTATGTGTGTGTGTATGTGTATGCATAAAAACTTTATCTTTTTATTTAACTGACAACAAATACTGTTTTGCTTGATCTCCAGAAGCTACAGAAGAGGATGTGTGGGATTGCTGAGCTGGCTTACAGGCCAGAGAAACACAGAGAAAAGGGGGAAAAAAAGCTATCAGTTTGCTTAGCCAGTGACAGCAAAACTTCTTCTGCTCCATTACCTGCACGTTTCTTTGCATAGCAACCATCAAATCTCTGGAATAAGACATAACTCTTTTCAAGACATTGTGTCTTGCTCTCAGCTGCTGAAAACCTGGTGATCCAGGTAGTCAAGGATTTAAGCAAACCCAGGCTGGTGCTGCTCTGTGGATGGGGGATCTGGGAGCAGCTGGCCGGGACATTGCTGAGAGTGCATGATGCTGCCCAGGGACCCTCCTCTTCAGGAGTCCTCCAGGGGCTGAACCCAGCAGTTTTACAGGTGTTTTGCCTCTTCCTTGTGCTTTCATGTCAGGCATACCTGCCTCTAGGGAGTAAGCCTTCCTTAAAGAGGAGGAGGAATTTGGTATTTGTATTCTTTCAGTGCCTTTGTTATATCCCTGCTAATTATACCACTGGAACAAAACTAAACAGAACATTACACCACTTGTCCTTACAGGAGAAGGGATTTGGGTGAATTAACCTGTCCAAAAGATGTCTGCGAGGTACATTTAGGTACATTTCTTCTGGGGAACCTCTACTCTGCTTCCTTGACTGAAGGCAAATACAGATCACTAAAGTGAATAACTTCTAAATACCAGTTTCCATTTGCAGCATTTGATGATACTAGGGCAGGTTAATTTAAGTCTTAAAAGAGGATGATAAAACAGTTATCTTTTCAAAGACTGACATCAGTACTAATCTCCTTTTTTTCTTATTTTCATTCTCTTATTTTTAAAGGTGACAAATTTGATGCAGTATTTATTACTCCCAATGGCAATACAATTTGCTTGAAAGCAAGCTATGAAAACAGTGAATAAAAGGGAAAATACATGGGTTTTTTATCATAAAAATGGTGTTAGATGGAAGATTTTAGGATTAGTGTTCCACCAAGCCTGTTTCTTTCTCTTATTTTTCTTTCCTCCATAAATTTATCACAGTGTCACTAAGTAGATGTTTCAATGTGCCTCTGGGCATTACTCTAGACCTAATAATCCTAAAGTAAATTTATTGTGTGATTGTGTACAAGGAAAGAAAGAAAGAAAGGAAGAAAGCCTGCTTTTATTTAGAGTGGTATAAAAATCTCATGTAGATTTAAAAGGATAGAGCATTTCACTCCAGATGTCCAGAGTTTCAATTATAGTAGTGTGATCAGTAGTAGGTGGAACATTCATGTATTTGAAACTTTAATAAGAAGAAGTTCACAAGATTGTCTTCAGATAAGAAGAGCAAAATAAAAATAATAAACTCAGTAATAAACTATAAGGCCTCTCACACACCTCTTTTAACAATAATTTTCAGTTTCCTGCAAAACAAGTGATAATCCTTTTGTCAGGTGTGCACATTCAGAGATGGAGGATGCTATTTTCACCAATATCCCAGATATTGTTTAAAACAAAGAACATAATTGTGATGAAAAGCAAAAATTGCTCTCATTTTTCAGACCACAGTTCCCTTCCCTTGCTCAGGGTGCCCACAGGTTTCCCTTGACACTCTTGCTTGCTTAGACCTTTGCTATTTTCACTAATAAAATAAACATTAAACCCACCTCATTGTATTCTTTGCTGCTTAGCATGAAGTGAGATGGCAGAGAGGGCACTCAGTGTCCATAGTGCAGCTTGGTAGAACAGGGTGACAGATGGGCACATAACCAATTTCTACTCAAGAAGCAAGCCAGCAGAGAAACCAAGTGAATCAAAGAATGGTGGGAGGCTCTGGGGCAAAAGTTCCATTAGTGGCAGCTGAGGGTACTGGGAGAGAAAGAGGTTTCAAGGAGAACCTTCTCCCTCTCCACCGCTGCCAGAAAAGCGGTCAAAGCCAGGTGGGGGAACTGGTCTTTACTCCCAGGGAACGAGACAGAAGGGGAAATGGCCCTTGAATTGCACCAAGAGGTTTAGACTGGGAAAACTTTCCACCCTGAGAGAGAAGCTGAGCACTGAAACAGGCTCCCATCAGCATCACCATCCAGAGAAGTGTTCAATATATGAGGTGGGCATGGCATATTGTGCTATGATTTAGTGGTCATGGTGTTATTGGTTGAAGGTTGCACTTGATGTTGAGGGTAATTTCCAACATTTATGATTATATAATTCAATATAATTTTGCCTGAATTGAGGATAAGGGTAGGCAGGATTATGCCTGCATTGAAACAAGTCAGATATCGGTCCACGAAATCTTTTCACTGCACCATTTCACTACTGATGACCAATTAGATTTCCAGTAACTCCATGATTTTTTTTTTTTCACCTGCAACTGAGTTCATTGCAATTTGCAATGAAAGCACTGATAAATCACCCACATTTTTTTATAAAATTAAAAAAATGGTCTGCTTCCTGCTAGTCACAGAAGCCATCTAGATTTCTAAGTAATGTTTTCCAAAATAAGGAGCAGAATGAGTTTATTTGGATGTTTAAGTGAGTAAAGATGACTGTTTTGCTTATTTTAGAATTTTTGGCTTGGATGCTGTAAATTGTACTATTCATACATATTATGATCCTGAAGCACTTGAAGTCAACCATATAAACATATGTGAAAATCTTCCCAAAGCTTCTAACCCAATCATTCTTCTATTTCATTGCCTGGGGGTTTTCTTATTCTGGGTCTTCAAGATCAGGAGTCCCATATTTGATCTCTTGAACTGAAAGTTTCTTTAGAAACCCTAAAAAACAAAACAAAACAAAACAAAACAAAACAAAACAAAACAAAACAAAACAAAACAGTGCAGCAAACTCAAAATGTTTCAGCTGAGAGACCATTAGAAAAAAACAACCCAAAACTCAAACCTGTAATTTTACAGAAAAATAACTAGTTGGGCATGCTTCTCAATCAATAAAAAGAAACCCAAATCCTTCCACAGTAAGGCAATATTTCTGTGCTTTTTCTCCATAATAAGATTAGTCAGGCCTATAAAAGAACAAGTACATCACTACAAAGCATTTTAGGTTTAATCTTATGAATTCAACTACTGGAGTCATAAAGGACCATTAATTTCCTTTCTTGTGGGGTGTTTTTTTTGGAGCCTTTCTTATGACATGTCCAATTTAAGATGATCAGAATGATATGTACCAAGTTTTAGTACATGTAGCATGCATTTGTCTCTGAAGTCTGAGAGCATGTGAGTCATCATAATGGCTTCAGGTTGTAAGAAACATCAATGATGAAAACATTAAACCACAAAAACAAGTTGGCCTTATAATGGTTCATTTACCCTGGAGAAAAATAAATAACTAGATGAATTCTCATTTAATAACTAGGAAGATTATCGTGGACTATTCATTTCATCTGGCAGATATTTGCAGGCTATCTCCTAGAAAGTTATTATTCCTACATCTTTATAAATGGCTGTATATATTTATTATTTTTTTATTACAGTCATGCTATTTTTCACTTTAAGATTCAAGGCAGGGAGATCTGTAGGCCAAAATTAATGATATTTAACCATAGACAGAGAGTGGGACAGAAATTAGAGAAAGGTAAATAACAAGAAGTTTTATAACTGTATTAAAATACAATAAAAATACCACAATAACACATTAACATTGTTTCCCTGGGGAATTAGACTTTGTTGTCCAATTATAATACATATATAATAGTAATATATATATAATAAAAATTCTGGATGTGAAAAATAATAATAGTAAGATTTCCAAACAGCCAGTTCAGAGAGCTTATATTTTTTTGAAGCTAAGGTAATGTTTGCTGTAAATTGATCAATTTACAGACAAGAAAGTGAACAAGAATGAAGGGAGGTTGGGGTCCAGCATGTGCTGGGATATGGATGACAATTACAAGGAGAGAATTCTTGGAGTCAGCATATAATTAATTGATTGGAAACTTACACATTTAATCTGGAACTGGAAATTTTGCTCCAAGAGACAGTTTCCTGGCTACAGACTTCTGAACACTGTCTTTCAGAAACCCCTTTGGGCACAT